GAGACAGGGTGTCACCATGTTGGCCAGCTGGTCTCAAACTCCTGACCTCAAGTGATCCATCTGCCTTAGCCTCCCGAAGTGCTGGGATTTTAAGTGTGAGCCACTGCACCCGGCTTCAAACCTAGGCAATCTGGCTCTGAAGCCCATGTTTTAATCATTATGCTATGTGGCCGCCATTATCATTGTTATCATATGTCAAAAAAAGGTATTATTACCTACTTAAGGCATTACATGAAGAATTCAGAAAGCTTTTAGTATGGCTCTGTTGACCTGATGCTTCTTTTAATAAAAACTCTTCACAGTTATTCAATATTTAAGAATTGTTAAAGAACGTAAACTGGGCCAGACATGGTGGCCCACGCCTGTAACCCTAGCACTTTGGGAGGCTGAGGTGGGAGGATCATGAGGTCAAGAGATCAACACCATCCTGGCCAACGTGGTGAAACCCTGTCTCTACTAAAAATATAGAAATTAGCTGGGTGTGGTGGCGTGCACCTGTAGTCCCAGCTACTCGGGAGGCTGAGGCAGGAGAATGGCTCGAACCTGGGAGGTGGAGGTTGCAGTGAGCCGAGATTGCGCTGCTGCACTCCAGCCTGGGAACAGAGCGAGACTCCATCTCAAAAAAAAAAAAGAGTGTAAACTTACATTATCTCATTTGATCCTTACGAAAACATAGTGTAGTAGACAGGACAGGCACCACTGCCCCGATTTTACCAATGAGAAAACTCAAGTACAGAGAGGCAAGTTGTTTGCTCCTTGTCATAGAGCTGGCTGATAAAGAAGCTGGAACAAGGATGATTATCACACTCTTTCTAGCTGGGCAAACTGAAACCCTGAGTTTTTCAGCTTCCTCACCATTATGTGGTAACAGACCTGGGTCTTCCTTGTTTCTTATGCTTTCTTCCTCTGAGCCTTGGCACATTTCACATTTTGAGGAGAAGCAGTATGGTGGACTAAAAAGTAGAGGGGTCGTGGGGCCAGAAAAGCCGACCTCCTATTTGAGCTTTCATTCTCACCTACAAAACAAGGATAGAGAAGTAGCCTCCTACTCACGGGGTGCACAAGCCAGTCTATGTAAAGCACCTGACACTTGTGGATTGCTATGGTAGATTATCAGATGTTGGAGCGGTGTCTTGCACCCCTCATCTATAGTCATCCTTGGTATGTGGCTTCCTTTCTGCCTTATACACATATGAGCTCATCAAAGTGGTTCCTGTGTGACCTCTTCTTCATAAGGGTCATTTTGGGTTGAATTATCACAAAATCGTTTCTGAACGTCTCATTTGAGCCAAGCCTGAACTATCTTTCTCTTAGATATAAAAATTCATTTTCCCTGAATATCTTGAAATCTGTCTTCCTAAAATATAACATATACGTCTGATTTTCCCCAATCTAAACTCTTAATGTACTTAGAATCTGTACATTTCAGTTTAGCTCTGAATTATACAGTCTTCTTTACATTGTGTTAGATATCTTACCCCTTTAATTATAGTCATACCCAATTTGAGAGCAATGGCCCTGTTTTATATATTTGTGGACCCACAGTGCATGGCACTGTCCTAGACACGTAATAAATATAATTATGAGATCACCAGAAACTCAGAATTGGAAAGGACTCTAGACCTTGTCATGCAGTCCAACTGCCCCATCAGGGCAAGAATTCCTTATAGATGGCCATCTAGCCCCTGCTTGAACACTTCAGGGCTGGGAGCTCACTCATTTGCAGGCAGTCTGTTCTACTTACTGTAGGATGGTTCTCTCTCCACCCGCCTCTTTTTATAAAAGAGATACATTGTCAGAAGACACACTGTCAGATTCTATTGCAGAGATACAGAGGAATCCTGCAAATTGTCCTCTGACAACCCTGTACCCACCTCACTGTAAACCGATGTCCCACAGTGCCTCTCCAACTCCTGCATAATCTGACCCAGCCCCACTTACTCATTTTGTAATCTTAGGTAAGTTATGTCACCTCATTAAATGTCAATTTCTTCATCTTTAAATGAGATAAAAAATTCCAACCTCACATGTTATAGAGATTAAACATGATAACACATATAAAGACATGTTGCCTATAGCAAGTACTTAGTAAATACTAGCTGACATGAATGGAGAGTTATAGCAGATGCTAGCCTGACTGGAATAGCCTAATAAGGCATCCTGGTTGAGATGAACCTGGAGCTGTGCATTTAAGGGAGAAAACTAGGGAGTTCATAGAATAAGGGAGCATTTGGGAAGGATAGAGTTTTCTGCTCAACCTAAAAGTACAAATTTAAATGCTGCAAGTCTAGTGGGGAGGAGGGTCAGGAGGACCCTCTAGCAAAATGCACAATTTTGACATGGAAAGTAATTGGGAATCACTCTAGGTTTATGAGAAGTAGAGTAACAGGATCACAGCAGTAGGTCTTAAAAAAAGAGAGTTCCTGCTGCTATATGAAGGTTAAAATAGAAGCAAAGGAGCAGACTGGGAGACAACGGCTGATTTGGATGTGGAGGACTAATCTTTGACATCTAGGATTTTTTTAGTTCTACTACCTTTTTTTTTTTTTTAGTTTTTTGTTTTGTTTTCATTCTGGGCCATCAGCTGGTGGTACATCTAGCAGCCATCAGGATTGATGGTCTATAGAACCCTACATCCTTTATCCTAATAGGTTGTTTCAAATCTGTAATGGGCCAAAAACCAGACAACCAATCTTTGTTTATCATTCATTCACTCACTTATTCATTCATGTATGAATACATCTATCTACAGCATTTCATTTTTTATATATCTAGTATTTTATTACTATCCGTAGTAACAACAACCACTGACCTGACTAGGCTCTAGAATAATTTGGAAACGAGTAAGACATAGCCATTGCCTTTAACGGGTTTATTAGACTTCCGAAATAAACAGATTTAAAAAATTAACTCTTACACTCAACAGACTTTGGAAGTACCACAAGAGAGAAATGAACGAAATTCTGTGCCAGGGGTTGAAAACAGAGCAAATCGGGCTGCATTTGGCCAGCAAATGTTTCATTTGGCCCACACAGTGTTTTGTTTTGTTTTTTTTCAGAGTAGATGCTAACATTTAAAAATTAGGCCATTTCACATAAAAACCCAGATTCCTAGCTTCTGGTGAAAACAGGAAGAGCTGAGCACACTAGACCAAATTCCTGCATGGTGGTAATTGGCAGGAGCTGAGCAGCAGCTGCCCCTTTTAGGACAAACATGAGCTCTGCAGTTTGCCACACTCTATTACTCTCTGACATTGAAGCCAAATGTTCAGTTGCCTATCATCAGCTTGTGATATAGGTACGTTTATAATAAAGTTAAAAATAAAATGATTTTTTAAAACTCAAATCTCTATTAAAAGTACAAATGAAAGATTCACTGATAGGGCTCTGTGTTTCAAGAAAAATGGGGTATAGAATACAAGAGTATTCCTAAGGAAAACATACAATTCCTAATGTTTAAGATGCAAATAGACATCTCCCATTTATGTTACCTGTCTATCTCCTGCAGACATTTGAGTTTGCCACCTCTGTAATATAAGGAAAAATTAATGTAGGGGCTGAGAGCATTGACGTAGGAGTGAGGAAGACCTGAGCTTGAAAGCTGGCTCCACCCCTCACCGTGTGACCTTGGCAAATTACCCACCTTCTCTGTGCTTCAGTTTCCTCATACATAAAATAGAGGAAATTATAGTACCTACCTCAGAAAGTGGTGAACAGAGACAACGAGATGAAGGATAAGAAGTGCTTAGCGAGCACCTGGCACATAATGTCAGCTACCACTAGTGCCGAACACAAAAGAGAGGACCCATCTCCAACGTGAGCCTTGAAGGATGTGCAGGATTTCCGTGTGAGATGAGGAGAGAGGGCATGCTTCACACAGAGAAAGATCTCAGAAAGGACTGAACCAAAGACAAGTAACCTGCTCCAGTGGCCAGAACAGAGGCTTCACAACAATGCTGAATGATTTTCAAAGTCAGGCCGAGACCTATCCCATAAATAAGTGTATGACAAAACAGGCTATATTATAGATTTAGCCAATAACAATGGAATAGGACATTAAATAACTGAATCAAAAGGTGACAAAGTTATTCACCTTCAATTCTTTTTCAAACTTCCCAATTAGGAGAGCTTGTGTTTGATGCTCATTTTGAGCACCTCTCTGATCATACCTGCCAATCTCCAATTTTAGAGAAACGAGATATCAGGTTTAAAGGCTCCCTAGCAACAACAGCTAGCTACAGCCTGTTCAGTTTTGCTTCTCCCTAAGTTTTACTTTTACACTTACAGCAAGTGACGCTGATTTTATCTTAACACTTAGAGCAAGTGACACCGGTTTTCATAAATGGAGTAATAAAGTTTCCTTGTAAAATGTGAAATCATAATTAAAATAAATGAGACAATTTAGAGAAAAACGTCAAGTAAACAAGAGTACAGGTACTATGTGGAAGTGGCAAGAACTGTGAAGCTTGAGCAGCTTCGTGCTGTGTCGTGGGTGTGAAACGAACCCAAGGCAGCGACAAGGCCAGACCATGAGGGAAGAGCCGCCTCCACCGGCACTACCTCCAGGCGCGGCACCTCCCTTTGCCGCTCTCCAACCCTCAGGCGTTTCGCCAACCGCCAAGGGGCGGGAGGGTGACCCTGCAGTCTCCCAGGCCGGGGTTCAGTGCCCTCGGCCCAGGCAGCAAGCTCGCTGCCACCCTCAAACACGCTGCAGTGGCTCGCGCAGTCCCCGCTTTTCGCGGACCGCCCGGCTTCTCACCAGTGCTCGGTTTTATCTCTCCACGTCAACACGGCCCTCATCGCGGCTTCCCTTACGCCTCGGGCTCCTCCTCTCCGCCTCAGCGTCTGTCTCAGCAACCGCCTCACTAACGGTAGCCACGCCACAAGCCACTTTGGCTACCTGCGTTACCCCTGGCAACGTACATGCGCGGTAAGCTGAGCGGGAGGTCGCCTTCCTCCGAGTGCGCATGTCCGAAAGGCAAAACGGGAAAAGCAGCAAAAGCTAGGGTGGAACTGGAGCCCCTAAGGCATCAGCGCAACCAGAGCGCGCGCGATTGGTTGGGGTTTGTGGGGGCGGTGCGCCTTCCTCGACAATGGATTTGATTGGTGGGGCGTGGAAATGGCGGCTGTAGCCGAGGGGGCGGCCGAAAAGCAGGGGCGGCCGAAAAGCAGGGGCGGCGTCTGGGCCACTTTCGCAACATTCAGACCTCGGTTGCAGCCCGGTGCCGTGAGCTGAGGTTTCACATCTTACTCCGCCCCACACCCAGGGCTTCGCAGCGCTGGGCTCGTTGCTGCAGCCGGAGCCTGCTCGATGGGCACGACTGGGTTGGAGAGTCTGAACTTGGGGGACCGCGGAGCTGCCCCCACCGTCACCTCTAGTGAGCGCCTAGTCCCAGATCCGCCGAGTGACCTCCGGTAAATTACTGTTCCCTTTTGGGCCTCAGTTTCACCGCCTGTAAAACGGGATCGGGAGAGTGGACGGTGTGTGGGCCTTTCTAACCTTAGACAGAGGGTCGGCAGAGACCTCGAAGCCCACGGGTTTAGTTACTAGGGGCTGGAGCTCAGGTGCTTTTCCTGTGGGATCAGTCCTGGGGTGCGCCCGACTTCCTCATCCAAGATGACTAGGGAGACTTGAGGGGGAGCCGGGAGGTTTTGTGCAACAGGTCCCCTTGAGTTGGAGGATCCTAGGAAGTCATTTGAGTACATGTATGATAGGAGGTTAAGATTTACCTACTTTTTTCGAAATTGAATCCTAAGAACTACTTTGAAAGAGGCATCACCTTCTTTTTACAGAAAGTATTTTACAGAGACTTTGAGATGTTAAGTAACTTGCTGCTAAACTTACAGCTGGCAGAGCTGGGATTTGAGCCCTAGTCTCTTTAATAGTTTGTGCTGATTTCACTAGGCTTCAGTATCTTTATCTCTAAAATTGTAAACAGTATCATTTCATAAGATCCGCCCAGCTCCGCAAAATTATTTTACTCCAACTTACATCAGAAAACCTTGATTCTAATTCTAGTTCTTGCATAGTTTCCCTATTTGTAGAAAATAACTTGGGTTAAATGATCTCTCTAGACCCATCCAGCTTTTACAATCTGTGGTTTAGTGATTAGGATACACTTTACTGAAATTTTTCTTTTTTTAATTTTTAAATTATGTTTTCATCATAGAAGACACACTGGAACATTAATGAAGTTTTAGTTTAGTTTAGTTTTTTGTTTTTTTGAGATAGGGTGTCACTCTGTCACCCAGGCTAGTGACAGCCTGGTGTCAGGCTGAAGCTCTGACAGCTCCCTGAAGCCTTGACCCGCCGGGCTCAAGCAATACTCCTGCTCTCAGCCTGCTTAGTAGCTGGGACCACAGGTATGCGCCACCACGCCTGGCTGCTTTTTTTTTTTTTTTTTTCATTTTTTATAAAGACAGGTATCTCACTGTGCTGCCCAGGCTGGTCTCAAACTCTTGGGGTCAGGTGATCTTCCCACTTCCTCCTCCCAAAGTGCTGGTACTATAGGCATGAGCCACCTTGCCTTGCCAACTTTTTTCAATAATAGTATGGGAGAGAAGTATTAGACCAAGATTTGGTAGACTTGGATTCAGGTGTCTGTTCTGCAAGTAATTTAACCTTTCTGTCACTCAATTTTTTATCAATAAATTGAGAGTTAATCTTATCGTACCTACAAGGTTACCATGAGGATCAAGAATGAAGGAGATTCAAAAATTCTGTATCAAATTATTTACCTTCTGGAGGGTTACATCTGATGAAAGTGATACACTCTCCCAGAAATTTTACATTATGTAAAACTTTTACCTCATTTATTGGCAGAGAAGAGAGAGTAACTCACTGATTTATTTAAGCATTTTCTGATGCTTAAGAGCTCAGGTTAAGAGCTCAGCTGTTAGCTCATATTCTCAAATTTATGCTAAGTGCCCCCAGAAATCTTTACAATAGCCCTACTCAGTAATTAATCGGAAAAGTTTCTGACTTGACCTTTTTGTTGTGCAGAGATTTCCAACACTTTTTAACTTGTGCTAGAGGGTATGGGAAGCTTTTGGAAGACAGGAAAATACTCCCATAGCACAAGGCTGGTCCATACTGACTTTAGTCTCCCCCATTTTAATATGGATAATCTATGTGGTTCCCGCATTATCATGGATTAAAACTTAGTAGGCAGTGGAAGATAAATTTTAAATAAGTTAATCACTTAGACTTTGTTTTTCCAGCAAAGAAGATGTTGCTGTGGAATTGGAAAGAGTGGAAGAAGATGAGGAACAAATGATGATAAAAAGAAGCAGTGAATGTAATCCCCTGCTACTAGAACCCATCGCTTCTGCTCAGTTTGGTGGTACTGCAGGGACAGAATGCCATAAGTCTGTCCCATGTGGATGGGAAAGAGTTGTGAAGCAAAGGTTATTTGGGAAGACAGCAGGAAGATTTGATGTGTACTTTATCAGGTAAGCATATAAGATGGTAAAGACAGTAAAGCAAAATAATTTTGTCTGGTCAGATAGTGGGAGCATAGCAGGAATCTTGGCTTCTTTATATTTTTATCATAAAACGATTGCAGATTCTCTTCTTTCAATGTTGCTATTAATTACATCAAGTGATTTGGGGAAAATTACATACATTTTGTCCCTCCTACTGTGAATGGTTAACGGGTAGGTTGCATTTAAGTTATATTTATAAATTTATTTTATATTGTCATAGAGGAAACAAACCATTTAAAGTGCCATTTATCACTCTTTTTCATTTTTAAATGACAGATGCCCATGGCAACATTTGGAAATTAGTTAGAAATCTGAAATGTGGTCCAATTCTTTTAAAAGTCCCTTCTATTTACTAGCAGTAAGTTTCCTTTAATATCATTTTCTAGCCCACAAGGACTGAAGTTCAGATCCAAAAGTTCACTTGCTAATTATCTTCACAAAAATGGAGAGACTTCTCTTAAGCCAGAAGATTTTGATTTTACTGTACTTTCTAAAAGGGGTACCAAGTCAAGATACAAAGACTGCAGCATGGCAGCCCTGACATCCCACCTACAAAACCAAAGTAACAATTCAAACCGGAACCTCAGGACCCGAAGCAAGTGCAAAAAGGATGTGTTTATGCCGCCAAGTAGTAGTTCAGAGTTGCCGGATAGCAGAGGACTCTCTAACTTTACTTCCACTCATTTGCTTTTGAAAGAAGATGAGGGTGTTGATGATGTTAACTTCAGAAAGGTTAGAAAACCCAAAGGAAAGGTGACTATTTTGAAAGGAATCCCAATTAAGAAAACTAAAAAAAGATGTAGGAAGAGCTATTCAGGTTTTGTTCAAAGTGATAGCAAAAGAGAATCTGTGTATAATAAAGCAGATGCTGAAAGTGAGCCTGTTGCACAAGAAAGTCAGCTTGACGGAACTGTCTGCATTTTTGATGCTGGAGCATGTGGTGAGACCCTCAGTGTGACCAGTGAAGAAAAGAGGCTTGTAAAAGACAGATCGTTGAGTTCAGGATCAAATTTTTGTTTTGAACAAAAAACTTCCGGCATCATAAACAAATTATGTTCAGCCAGAGATGCAGAACACAATGAGAAGTATGAGGATACCTTTTTAGAAACTGAAGAAACTGGAACAAAAGTAGAAGAAGTTGCAGAAAAGAAGGAACATTTGCATACTGACATTTTAAAACGTGGCTCTGAAATGGACAACTGCTCACCAAGCAAGAAAGACTTTACTGGTGAGAAAATATTTCAAGCTATCCAGTGCTTTCAAGCACTATTAAACATTATGTGATGAGAAATTTATAATCCTGCATCTTGTATTTGTGCCTGTACATGGTTAAGACGTGAAAATAGAGCCAAGAAATAGGGCCAAATATGAGATACATCCTACCAGTTGATCCTAATACTTATCTAACTGATATTCAAGCAGTTTCCTATGGCAGAGAGAAAATCAGCTGACTGCTGTCATGAGGCCATGGCAAAGGAGAGTACTACTGTTAACAGCTGCCATTGTCTCTCCCTGGTGCAGCACCTGGGACTCTCCTTCTCAGCAGGGCTTTCCCTTCTTCCCATCCTCTTTCCAGCCAGTAATCTTAAAACTTGAAGGAAAATTAAAAGCCTTCACTTGTGAAAAATTTAGGGAAGACTTCTTTTTTTTTGAGATGGAGTCTTGCTCTGTTGCCCAGGCTGGAGTGCAGTGGCACAGTCTCGGCTCACTGCGAGCTCTACCTCCCAGGTTCACGCTATTCTCCCACCTCACCCTCCCAAGTAGCTGGGACTACAGGTGCCCGCCACCACGCCTGGCTAATTTTTTGTATTTTTAGTAGAGACGGGGTTTCACCGTGCTCGCCAGGATGGTCTCGATCTCCTGACCTCGTGATCCGCCCGTCTCAGCCTCCCAAAGTGCTGGGATTACAGGCGTGAGCCACCGCGCCCGGCCGGGAAGACTTCTTATATACATAAATGGGTGGAGAATAGTTGGTGTCTTCTCTTCACACCCCTCCTGATACTTACTACTAGATGTGACTTCCAATTTAATTTTGTATATATCATAGTCGTTTTTATCTTCTATTATAATGTAATGCTTCTCTGAAATGCTTTAGAGCTCTAAATAATTCAAAAGTATAATCACATAGTTCATCTATTATTTGTAATATGCTCTTAATACAGAATTCAGAACTTAGCAGTTTTGTCTTTATTCCCTCAGTGAATAAGAGATAAAAAGGAGACCTTTTGAGCAGCCCTGTATTAGTTATTCATTATGCTATTACGGTGTAATGAATAACTCCTTTAAAGAATAATAATTTTACTTAAACTCCTGTGGGGAAACAGCCTGGACAAATTTGTGAAGCAGGAGAATAGATACGATTCTTGTTCCCAGTTCTACCCATGATTGTATGTCTTTTCTGTGCCTGGAGTTTCTCTGCCTTTAACACAAGATGGCCATATATACCTAGTGGTATATTCTTATGGTATAAGAATTCTTCTTATAAGTATTCTTCAAGTCTGTGTCCTAAACACTGAGCTTCTTGACGAAAGCTTTGAGGTTTATGTAGATTTATTGCTAGCAAAATGGGCAAAAATTAAAAACTTTTTTTGTGATAAGAGTGTAGTTCTCAACATGAGATGAAGAACTCTTAGGTTCCTGGGTGTCCCATGAAATAGTGAAGATTCCCATTGGCTTAGCTAGAAATTGCCAAGTAAACTTGGCATAAAGGAGATTGGTTAGTAATTATTCATAGGAGCCCACAGAAAAAGTTGTCAAATCAGAGCAGTCAGAGCAGTTTCCTTTGTTGTTGTTGTTGTTGTGTTTTAACTCTCTACTGGGCTTTACCTACTCAAACTAAAATAGCAAAAAAACAGTAGTCTAATTATCTGGAGACCTGGATACTTGTTCCAGTTTATAGTCAATCCCAATATCATTTTGGGATGATTGCTTAATTTCAAAGCTTTAGTTTCTTCATCTGTAAAAGAGAGGTAACCACCCTGACTAGTCCTGTTTTTCACATCAAAAATATTATAAAATGAGAAGTGAAAAAGATGCTATACAAATGCAAGGTATTATTAACTGATATTCAAATTGCGAGGGTATGGCTAAGGAGTATTACATGTGATTTTAGAAATTTGAGAAGTCTGATGATACTGATTCCCAGTAGACAGAGGTTCTTAATAGGTAGTTGTCTCAGGTGCTCTAGGGTTCAAATTGTAGGTTTTTCTGCAGACTCTGTTTTGTCTGTATATTCTGTTTTGTCTGTATCCCTTTTTTTGGTAGGCGTAAAAGTAAGTTCACTGCAGAAATTTTGGAAAATATAGAAAAGTAAAGAAGAAAAGAAAAATTAGCACTAGACAACAACTGTTATATCATTTTGGCTTATTTCATTCTTAACCTCTGTATTTTTATTTATATATGTTTCCCCTTTTTTATAAAATTGGGATTATATGTAGACTTTTGCTTTTTTCATTTAGAAGTTAATGGGAAAGTATTCACAATAGTCTAAAAAATATTTTAATGACCACATTATACAAATGCATTGTAATTTAAAATATTCCATACTGCCTTTAATTTTTCAATACGGTAAACTCTGAACATCAAAGTCATAAAGAACTAGTATCACAGAGTGGTTAAGGTGAGGACTCAGGAGCCAGACTGTCTGGATTTGAATTTTAGCTCTGACACTTAGTATCCGTGTGATCTTGAGCAAGTTACTTAGCTTCTCTGTGCCTCAATGTCCATATCTGTAAAGTGGAGATAAAAATAATACCAAGTTCATGGGTCATTAGTTGGATTAATTGGGTAATTTATGTAAAGGGCTTAGAATAGTAGCTGGCATGCTTTGTAACAGTGTTGATATTATTCGCATCCCTGAATATTGCTTTAAACTAAACCATAGACTCGATAAAGTGTTCACTTTTCCTTTTCAGAAGATATCATCCCACGAACACAGATAGAAAGAAGGAAAACAAGCCTGTATTTTTCCAGCAAGTATAACAAAGAAGGTATCCCTTTCCCAATCAGAACAGCAAATTCTAATTCTATTTTGGGTTTTCAATTCTGATGCAGTATGTTTGTTTAGCTCCTAGCCCCCCACGACGTAAAGCCTTTAAGAAGTGGACGCCTCCTCGGTCACCTTTTAATCTCATTCAAGAAACACTTTTTCACGATCCATGGAAGCTTCTCATCGCTACTATATTTCTCAATCGGACCTCAGGTTTGGGGATTATTATCATCTTTGTCTTATAGACAGTGTGGTAAGGAGAAAGCACTGAATTGAGGCCTGGGTTCACAGTCCATTTTGAGTGTGTCACCTGGGATAAAGCATTCTCCCTTCACCCTTAAACTCTTCACCTACGAGGAAATTAGACTAGATGACATCCAACAGACCTTTTAGAATAAAGGGGTAGATTTTATTTATTTTCTACTTCCAAATTCATTTTGATCATCAATGAAAATCAGTTAATGTTTCTCCACCCTCTTTCGTGTGTGTTTAAAAGTATCTTTTTCACTGAATGTACCTTGTGTTCTATATGCCTCTACTCTCATTATCTGCTGATCTGATCATTTAAAAGCTAATCATGCAAGGCCAGTTTTCAGCATAATTTGGACTATTAGCCCCATATATTAGCAGTGTTGGCATTTGATTCTGAAAGTGGTTGCTGGTTCAGATAATGGCTTCTCGCCAGTGGTTTAAAAAAAAAAAAAAACCCTCTGGATGAGATTTCTAGATGAGAAACTACTTGAACATGAAATCAGCCTATCTAGAGTCTTGTAATCATTCAGTTACTTTTACTTCCCAGGTAAAATGGCAATACCTGTGCTCTGGAAGTTTCTGGAGAAGTATCCTTCAGCTGAGGTAGCAAGAACCGCAGACTGGAGAGATGTGTCAGAACTTCTTAAACCTCTTGGTCTCTACGATCTTCGGGCAAAAACCATTGTCAAGTTCTCAGGTATTTTCCTATATACCCAAAGGAAAAACATAATACCTTGTGCTTATTTAAGAGAGCCACACCTTAAACTTTAATGTCCTCAGATACTATATTAATGGAGGTTTTTCAGCTCAAGCACCCAAGATATTTTAAAAAGTCCACTTTCCCCAAACCACAGCCTCCCAGTGACCTAAACAATAAATCTTTGCCCATCACTGGGTCAGGCATGTGGGCAGAATTAGGGGAAGAAGTCAGTGAAGCAGAAAGCCCAGTTCTTGACCTCAGGGACGTGACCTCTGTCGCATTAGCACAGCACAAAAGAGTGGTTAGGATTTGGTAAATGATATGGGTGCTACAGGAATTCAGTAAGAAGGGCAGTCACAACTGAGGTTGCCAGGAAAGAGCCTTTCCTGTCCCTTTCTTCTGTTCTCTCCATCCTGCCCCATCACCACACATTTTGGGAGGGTGTCTTTAGAAGCTGACCTGATGTGTGGGATGTTGTATTCTTCAGATGAATACCTGACAAAGCAGTGGAAGTATCCGATTGAGCTTCATGGGATTGGTAAATATGGCAACGACTCTTACCGAATTTTTTGTGTCAATGAGTGGAAGCAGGTGAGGCCCACTCCCATCCATAATTCAGCACATTTGGTCTCTGGGGCAAAATAAGTCCACCATTATGGTTAAGACTATTTATTGGACACAAATGCTATTATAGTCACAAACAATTTTGTTCCTGGCTGTGGGGAAGTGGGTGGCATGCAGGTTTTGGGGTAGGCACTCCCAAGTCCACAAAGACCAGTCCAGAGGTGTGGCCTCTGACTCATCTCCAGTGGTTTGTCACCTCTGGCCCTCTTCCTGTCATTCCCCATTTGTGTACTATCTCTAAGCCTGCCATGGTTTTCCTCCTGTCAAGAGTACACCACTACAGGAAAGCAGGAAGGTTTGGGCCTGCAATGTATACTTATTGGGTTTCTCTCAGTGGTCTCAGGCTACTTTTGTGGTGACTGGGTCCTGCTTTAGCCCTGTTGAATATGCCCAGCCCTTGGCATACTGATGGTATCCTGGCACCTGATGGGTGCCCACTCAGCTTGCGACTCACCCTCATGCATTCAACCAGTAGGTCTGGCCAGGCCTGAACTGAAGGACCATGGTCCTATCCCTACTTCATCAGAGCAATCCATTGTGACCTGAGAATCCATTTTTTTTTTTTTTTTTTTTTTTTTTTTTTTTTCTGAGACGGAGTCTCACTGTGTCACCCAGGCTGGAGTGCAGTGGCGCAATCTCGGCTCACTGCAAACTCTGCCTCCTGGGTTCACACCATTCTCCTGCCTCAGCCTCCCGAGTAGCTGGGACTACAGGCGCCCACCACCACGCCTGGCTAATTTTTTTGTATTTTTAGTAGAGGCGGGGGTTCACCATGTTAGCCAGGATGGTCTTGATCTCCTGACCTTGTGATCCACCTGCCTCGGCCTCCCAAAGTGCTGGGATTACAGGCATGAGCCACCATGCCCGGCCCTGAGAATCCATTTAACCTCTCAGGGCCTAGAACCTCCTTCTGGAAAGTGAGGTATTAATACTTGACTCATGTCATCACCACCCCACACTCCAAGTCATGGTGAGTAGTCATTTGGACAGTACTTTGTAAACTGTATGTGATTACCTTAATATAAGGTATAACTTAAAATATTCATGAATCCCATGAGGTTAAAAGTTATAACTTTTAGGTATAGTATCATAATGTACTGTCCCCCAGCAAACATTTAAAAAGCCAATTTTAAAAAACATATTTCTGACTAAGTTACATTAAGGTCTCTGCCTCTTTGTGTGTTGTATTTCTTCCAGGTGCACCCTGAAGACCACAAATTAAATAAATACCATGACTGGCTGTGGGAAAATCATGAAAAATTAAGTCTGTCTTAAACTCTGCAGTTTTCAAGCTCATCTGTTATGCATAGCTTTGCACTTCAAAAAAGCTTCATTAAGTACAACCAACCACCTTTCCGGCCATATAGATTTTAATTAGCCCAACTAGGAGCCCAGTGTGTGTGCTTTCTTAATGTGTGTGCCAATGGTGGATCTTTGCTACTGAATGTGTTTGAATATATTTTGAGATTATTTTTAAATAAATTATTATTTGACAACAATCCAAAAAAAGTGTGTGGCTTTTCCAAAAATGAAATATAATCAGAAGATAAAAAGTACATCTAAACTATCAATAATACAAAGCAAATTTCTATCAACCTTGCTAAAGCTAGGGGCCCACTAAATATTTTTATTGGCCAGGTGTGGTGGTGCACGCCTATAGTCTCAGAAGGCTGAGGCAGGAGGATCATTTGAGCTCATGAGGGCCCAGGAGCTCAAGGCTTCAGTGAGCCGTGATCATGCCACTGCACTCCAGTTTGGATGACAGAGACCCTGTCTCAAAAAATATATATTAAAAAAAAAAAAAAAGCTAACCCCAAAGTCAAATAAGATTCCTCTGGCATTGTGTATTGTTGACAGCTCCACACTGTCCCTTAGGAATTGTAGATTCCACCTCAGCATCCGTTTGGTAACCTAATGTGAATATCTGTCTGCTGCTCCTTTTCAGCTCACTCACTCTTTTACCTTGGTCCCTTTGTGAAAACTCATTTCTCATCTTCCATTTGGAGTTTATACCATTTGGCCAGGCACAGTGGCTTACATCTGTAATCCTAGCACTTTGAGAGGCTGAGGCAGGAGAACTGCTTGAGCCCAGGAGTTCAAAACCATACTGGGCAACCAGATAATGAGACCCCATCTCTACAAATAATTTTAAAAATTAGTTCGGCATGGTGGCACACACTTGTGGTCCCAGCTATTCAGAAGGCTGAGGTGGGAGGATCCCTTGAGCCCAGGAGATTGAGGTTGTGGTGAGCTATGATCACACCATTGCACTCCAGCCTGGATGACACAGCAAGACCTGTCTCAAAAAAAATTAGTCTTATGCCATTTTTATACAAGTACTGTTACTGTTCAAATACCAAAGCATTTACTATTAGAAAAAAAGGGAAAAAACTAGTTATTAAGTCTTAATTACCAACTACCATTTTAAGATATAATTTGAAAATTAAATTGATTGAATAAATGAAAAATCAGTTGTTCAGGAAACTGCCTTTGTTGTAGGGCGGTGTGAACCGGATCAGGCTGCAGTGTGATGCAGAGGTAGTTGGTTGTTTCCACTTTAGTGAGTAATAAGTGTCAGTTTTTAAAAGGATGAATTTTGACCAGAGAACAGGAAAACTGGCCACACCTCCCTCTCCCCACGGCAAACATCCACTTTATAATTTACCATCACATTTTCATTTGACAAACATCCAATTAGCATTCACAAAGTGTGAAACCCTGTGGTGGGGAGGGGCACAAAGATAAGTTCTGTACAGACTCTCAGAGAGAGAAAAAAGGGCACCTAATAATGGAAGGGAACAAAAGGGGTAAGGAGTAGGGACAAGACAGCCAGATATGGCAGCTAAGGATAGCGAGGGGCCTCTGAAACCTTGGGCCCAGCTGGGGCTGGAGGGTGGGGCGGGCTCACCAAGCTCAGGGCATCAGATATGGCTTCGTGGTAGGGCTGGTGGTCATATCCTTTCCCCTAGCATCTCCATGGGGAGTGTGGGCCCATGTGAATGCAGGAGGCGAGCTCTGTGCTAGGGGACCTCAGGACAGCCAGGTTGCTCAGGCTCTAGGCCTGGCTTTTCCCCTTTATTGCAAGTAAGGTTGCCTGACCTCTGTACCTGTTAACTTGTCTCGTAAAAATGGGATAGTGGGCCAGGCACGGTGGCTCACGCCTGTAATCCCACCACTTTGGGAGGCCGAGGCGGGCGGATCACGAGGTCAGGAGATCAAGACCATCCTGGCTAACACAGTGAAACCCCGTCTCTACTAAAAATACAAAAAAAATTAGCTGGGGGTGGTGGTGGGCGCCTGTAGTCCTAGCTACTCGGGAGGCTGAGGCAGGAGAATGGCATGAACCTGGGAGGCAGAGCTTGCAGTGAGCCGAGATTGTGTCCCTGCACTCCAGCCTGGGCGACAGAGCAAGACTCCGTCTCAAAAAAAAAAAAAAAAAAAAGGGGATAGTGGTGTCTACCTCACACGGTGATTGTGATTATGAACTTCAGACATGTAGTGCTAAAATGGTAAGAGTGCTGTATGAATGTGACCCATGGCAACCATCTCAGGTTGTGAGGGTCACAAAGATAGCTTGTCTCAGCAAAGGACAAGTGCTCAGGTGTTTCTTTTTAACTTTTTAAAAATTGAGCTAAAAGCCACCATTTGACCATTTTAAAGTGTACAATTCAGTGGTTTTAGTACATTTACAATGTACAGCCATCATCACTAATTCCAGAAGTTTCCATTTCTTTTTTCCATTCCAAAAAGAAGTTCCCCACCTGTTAGCGGTCACTTCCAATTCCTCACCCCATCCCCTATCTGCCATTAATCTACTTTCCGTGTCTGTGGGTTTGTCTATGCTGAACATTTCACATAAAATGGAATCATACAGCACGTGGCCTTTTGTGTTTCGCTTCTTGCTTAGCATACTGTTTTGAAGGTTCATCCATATTGTAGCATGTACTTCATTCCTTCTTATGGCCATCCTATGGCTATACCTCATTTTGTTTATCAGTTGATGCACGTTTCAAGGGTTTATTATTCTCTGGTCCTCAGGTTCTGTAACTCCAAACCATGGCACCCTGCCATAAGGGGGGCAGAACATACCAAACACCTTTATCTGGCCACAGCTCACTTTGGTTCTTCCTAACCCTCTGAAGGAGGCAGGGCCTATTTTTCTGATGAGAAAACTAAGGCCTAGAGATATGGAGACCTGCTGAAGATCCCACACTTCACGGAAAACCGGAGACTTTCTACACTAGATTCCGGGGCACCGCGCCGAACAAAGAAATCCCGCCTTTCACCAACCCCAGAACTGGGCACGGCGTGGATTTGCTCGCTGACTCTCCTAGAATTGGACGAAAAGGAGGTGGGGTCAGCAGGCACTCGGCCGAGCGGACTCGCTCCTGGCACGTGGCAGCGCTCAGCCAATTGGCGCGGGGCGTCGGTAGCCACGGTAACATGTTGCTCCTGCTGTCCCAGCTGAGCGCCTTTCGCATGACTTAGAGTTACTGTTTATCTGATACTCCGGCACCCGTACGCAAGCAAGCCCACATCTACACACATTCATACACGCCCTTCAGCACCCCCTCCCAGCACCACGACCATGGACGACGACTATGAAGCGTACCACAGTCTGTTCTTGTCGCTGCTGGGTAAGTCCCGGGAAGTGGCGTCTGCAGGGAGCGCTCAGCGCCCTAAGGACGCGTGGAAGTGGGGTGACGGCAAAAACTCAGCCACAGATCTCATTGTGCCGACCCTTCTGGGTGAAGGGTTGCCATGGAGTCAGGGGCAGGTCATGTACATTTCTGAGATTTCCACCTGAGCCTAGTTGGAGGCACCAGAGGCCCGACCCATAATGACGGGAGCCCTCCAGCTCACCCTGTTTCTCTGTAGGACATTAATGTATTCAGTACTGGAGGAGAGGCACGGAGAAGACGTCAGTCTTCAAGGTTTTGGCAGTAATGTGCTGGGGACCAAGTTCTTGGCAAAGCAATGCAGCTTCATGGGTAAAAGACAGAGATAAATTGATAATTACAGAATAAGAAGGGGTGAATGCCGGGCCCAGGGATGACACCCACGAGTAAAAGGTGTGCTGAGGGTATGGGATGGGGAGCAACAGTTCCAAGCTTTTGGAAAATATCTTTACACTTGAGCTTAAAGGATAAAAGGGAGTTCTCCAAGCCAAAAGGGGAAGGAAAAAGCATTTCGGGCAAAGAAACAGCATGGCCCAAGAAGTCTGGTGTCTCTGGAAATGAGGTGAGAGAGGTCAGAAGGGACAAGATCATAAAAGATCCTGCAAGCCAGGAGATGGAGAGGCCACTGGGAGTGGCAGGACAGGAATGGGAGCAGTCAGAAAAGACCTGAGACTGAGTTGGCAGACTCAGAATGTTGGTGTGGGAAGATGAGAGCTGGGGCTGTAAAGCTTGAAGACTGAAGGTCTTCTCCATGCCCCTTCTCCAGCAGTGAACACATTAATGCCCAGTGGAGAAACAGGGCGAGCCAGAGAGGCTGACCACCTTTCCCAGGCACACAGGTCAGGGCTCTGGTCAAATGCTCAAGCTAAAGATGCTGGGAGGTGAGGGAGAAGGCCCAGGCTGGAGGTAACTACAGGGACTTGGGGACTGGTTGGTCAGGAAACATAGAAGGGGCAAATAAAGATGGTGCTCAAGTTGGCAGCTGGGAGACCTGGTAGATGGAGGTGTCTTCCACAGAGATAGAGAACGTATTCAGAGGACCCAGTTAGTGGGGGCAGGGGCACGAAGACAAATCCAGTCTTGGTTGAGTTTAAGATCCTTGTCAGTGGCTAGACACAGTATATCCCGCCTGTAATCCCAGCACTATGGGAAGCTGTGGTAGGAGAATTGCTTGAGCCCAGAAGTTTGAGAATAGCCTGGGCAACATAGTGAGATCCCATCTCTACAAAATCATTTTTAAAAGTTAGCCGGGCCTGGTGTGGTGGCTCATGCCTGTAATCCCAGCACTTTGGGAGGCCAAGGCGGGTGGATCACGAGGTCAGGAGATTGAGACCATTCTGGCTAACACGGTGAAACCCCATCTCTACTAAAAATACAAAAAATTAGCCAGGCGTCGTGGCGGGCACCTGCAGTCCCAGCTACTCAGGAGGCTGAGACAGGAGAATGGTGTGAACCGGGGAGGGGAAGCTTGCAGTGAGCCGATAGCGTGCCACTGCACTCCAGCCTGGGTGACAGAGTGAGACTCCATATCAAAAAAAAAAAAAAAAAAAAAGTTAGCCAGGCTTAATGGCATGCACCTGTAGTCCCAGTTACTCAGGAAGCTGAACTGGGAGGATCATCTGAGCCTAGGAGTTCAAGGCTGCAGTGAGCTATGATTGAACCACTGTACTCCAGCTTGGGCAACAGAGCAAGACCCTGTCTCAATTAAAAATAAATAATAAAAAAAGATCCCTGTAAGCCATCCAAGTGGAGATGTTTTAGGAACAACTGCAGGTATAAACTTGGAGCTAATTCCAAGTCAAAAATATTGGCATGGATGTCCCCAGCATAAAGAAGGTCATAGAAACATGAGAGTGGAAGGGATTATTTGAAAAGAGAAGAGAGCTTGGGTATAAGCCTGGAAGCAACAACCTTTAAAGAGTACAGGAAAACGGGGGCCCAAAAACGGTAGCCAGAGAGGTAGAATTGGACATAGCAAGAGATTGAATCAAGCCAAGAGCAGGGAGAATTTCAAGAAAGAGTGGAATTGTTTCCAGACACCTATAGGCTGTCTGAGAAAAGAGAGAACAAATGTGTTTTCTGGGACATCCATGGGGAGGACTAGAACCAAGGGATAGAAAGTCCAGGGAAACAAATTCTGGGTCAATA